TTGACTCAAAACCCACTGCCGCAGTCCTGCATGAACTCGACGAGGTAACCTCCACCTGTTGCACCATCGTTGTATCTCCCTGTTCGCAATCTGTCGCCATTGTGCTGTGGGCAAAAAACAGGTGTCGTTGAGATTCAAGAAGGCCAAAGGTGAACTCGGAAGAATCACACGCACATGAACAAACAAGTGTCCTGTCGTCCTTGATGTCGAGAAACTAGTGCACCTGCAGGCCTGTGGCTTCCCTGGCTGCCATGATCGAAGAAAAGATCGGTAATTGAAAGCAGTCCTAGACCATGGACGGGATTTAATCTCAATCATTTTGCAGGATGGTAAATGCAGAGGCGGAAAGCTCAGTCGTTCTTGTTGTACAAGTGTACGAAGTGCCGTGCATACTTCCTTGGCAAGATCATGTGCAAGAGGTGGAAGGCGAAGGGGAACATTGGTGGGCGGCATGTGTCCTCGTCGGAACTCCATGATCAATCGCAACTGCTGAGTAGCTCGGGTTTTAAACGGTTCGTCGATCATGTTGACCAACCTGCACCTGAGATACAGCTCCTGCAAAGGTGTACGATGAGACCGAAGTCTCCTGGATTCCAGAAATTTCTCCAAGCTATCACTGCCCAAACGATAGAGGGAGAGAAACACTTGCTTGTTGTTCAAGAGATGCTGATGATAGAGTCCATGACGACGTCGAATCAAAGCCTGACACTTCTTGGTGAACCGATGGCCTGTTCTGGCTTGAGGCAAGCGGAATCTGTTCTGCTTGATCCGTAGAGACTTCAACAGATCCAATACCCATGGATGATTCAAAGCAGGCCTAAGTGTCCGAATCAAGGCAGCTTCCGTGGCGAGCAATGACAGAGTGTCAGAGTCCTGATACAGGGCCAACACAATACCTTGATAAACGTCACGTCGGCGATGAAACACTTTGAGTGCAGGCTCAAAATATGACAGTCGTTTTCTAACCAACTGAATGAACTTACGACGTCTGGAGGCTTCTCGTCCTGGAACGGTTGTCCTGGTGGCTCCAACATACAGAGTCGCCGTGGTTGCCGGTCGATTCACCGACACACGAAGGTAAACCATATGTGAAGTTTGATGCCAAGACCATGGATAGTGTTTGGGTACACGAAACTGCGCCAGAAGATCACGAATGCGCACGAAAATGCCAGTGGAAAAGCAAGGCAAAGCGTTCGAAAATAATGCACACGAAAAGATGTGGGAGCGAACCCACATGAATCTGTCGACCACCTTGTGGGGCATGAGAATGTAAAGGATTGGGAGAATCAACGAGAACCATCGGAGAAAAGTGACAACAAATCGCTGTCGCTGGGTCCTCGTCTTGCTCGAAGCCGCGTGTAGTCACTGGTTTGCCAGCAAATGGGCTCCCGCGATCAAGCGAGTGAGGCATTTCTCATTCAACTTAGAAGCGAGAGAAACTGCGAGACCCCATTCCACTGCGATTTTGTCAACTGGTTTCTTGTTACCATCGTCAAGCTTGGCACAAGCAGCAACAAACTCGGAAACTGCAGTGTCGATCACCTTATTCTTGCCCTTTCCGATAGCAGTGGATGCTAGCCAGTTGTTGACACTCTTAAGATTAGTGGCTTCCAAGCTGCAACTCTCAAGGTAGAGAGTACTGTCACGATCCGGGAGATACTGCGAGTATGTGTCCTGAGCATCGAGGGGGCCTTTGTCCTGATTCTCCTCGTCTTCTTCGAAAGGGTCTTCGGCAGGTGATCTGAACATGGCGGTTTCTTCGCCATCACCCCCACCCGCAAGGTCCTCTGCGCCGAAATCCATGGGACTCCTGGGCTCCGTCTTCTTGGATCCTGAAGCGGGAGCGCCCCTGCGGCGAGGAAGAGCCGGTTGCGCTGAACGATGTGGCTTACCCTTCAAACGAGCATTCTCGGTCTCAAGAGCGTGAAGCCGCTGCAACAAAGTCTGATTGGTCTGAACTGGTGCATGCTTACGAAAGTCCTTCACCAGGTCCTCGGCCAATTTCTGGATTGTCTTGTAGCGAGCCGACCAATCTTGAAGCTCCGACGATGGAAACAACTTCTTCTGAGTAGCATTCAGAATGGTAACAAAATCGGTGCCCTCCTGTTCTGCTTGTTCAGAGCGAAGTGCCTTCATTAAGACCCCAGCAAACACTCCCTCCTGTTTGGATCGAAAGTTCTCCCAATGCACGGCACGACCATGAGCGATCTGACGTAGCGCCCAATTAGAAGTGCCCCCTGAGACCACTCGATGTAACGGCACCTCAAAGATCTCCAAGCCTGAAATGTCAAGTTCTCGAGTAAGACGATTAGAGGTCACACGTCTCGGCAACGTCAGACCATACACCCTGTTCGAGTCCCACTCCTGCGAGGTCGACCTCCATGACCCCGGAAGGTTCCCACTTCTTCGCTCGACTCTTGGGGAACGAGTACGAGATCTGTGCCGAGTAGTACGACCCGAAGAAGAAAACTCAGGCTGTCTGCGATGCGAGCGCGGTGGGCTTCGAGATCGCGAATCACGACGACGATGCGACATGGCTCAAGTGCACTGCAGGAAGACTTGAAAGGCCAAAGACTGTGCAAACCATGCATGTTGAACAATGACAATGCAAATGCAAGCAGTCCTGCCCGGTGAACGAAAAATGCAAGACTCACACGTCCTGGTGTTTTCTCAGTCCTGTGCGAAATGACGTCAGTCGCCTGCACCACGCTGGATCTGCTGAGCATGTGTCAGAGGAACCTGAAAAAGCGGGCGACCTGAGGCATCTCTCAAAGGGGTGAACTGCTTGGCAACTGCCACTGTGAAACCTGCCACTGTGCTCCTTCCACTGTGAATTACATATTTGTGGTCCCGTTTGAAGTGAACGACCCCATGTATGAGGCACTGTTGCTGGGCGTCTTCTCCACCGCCCGACTTCAAAACGAAATGCTGGCCGGGAACACTAGCATATCCATGAGTGATAATGGGACAAGCCCATTTCGCAGAGTTCGTAACCCTATCAAGAATCTGCACAAACGACATGTCATCGCTCCACGGAGTTGCCTGCGAATAGTGGCCTACGGCCTCCGGACCGTCCGCCAATGTGGCGGGTGCCAAAAATCGAGATTGAATTATCCCTTGTACGCCTGCAATGTCCGAGCCATGTGCAAAATAATATAAGTTGCGAAGTTCAGCAGAAGAATCATCATGTGGTACAAACCGCTCAGTCAAATCGAAACTCCAGTAAACATGTGCCTTGGACTCATGACGCTTCACTCGACTGAACATGCGGGATGTATCTCCTGTGTAACGGCACATCATCGTTGCAAAGCAGTGAAGTTCGGAAGGAGGCAAGTTCTGAAAACCTGATTCGTCAGAATCTTCATGTTGTTTCGAATCTCGTCCTCCGGAGCTGCCTGCATGATAAGCCGTCCCTGCCAACTCTTGAGCTTGACACTGACTGCTCCACCCACTGTCCTCGAAAGAACCAACTCAGAATGCACGTCCTGACCACTGGTCGTAAGCAGAGGATCACCTGCATACTGCGGAGGCTGTGTCGGAGTGCAATCAATACCTGCAGGAAGCGCTGGTGGAGGAGGAGGTGGAGGAGGGGGTGGTGGTGGTGCAGCCGACGATGGTGAAGCTGGCGACTTGCGCTTTAGTCCTATCTGTGCAGGAGTGCGAGTGGTCGCCATTGCAACAGCACGATCTGCCATGTCCTGTTGAACCTGAATATCAATATCTGAAGCAGAATCAACAACTGGCTGTTTGGTCTCTGCTGGTGACTTACACATCTCGACTGCTCCCAGCATCTGTTCCCTCCTCTGCTGCAAAACTTGTCCCACTGATCCCTTAGGAACTTTAGCAGCATTCTTGGCACGAGCAATACCTCGCGAAGTGAGCTTTGGTGCAGTCGCTGTGCCTGCAATCGATCGATCACTGTCCGATGAAACTTCTGAAGTGTCCTCACGATCGTCGGAGGCAGACGACGAGTCTATCGTCGGAATGTCCCGTCCTGTAGAGGTTCGATCTGGCAGAACATTGTCGATCTCGACTCCCTGGTACCCAAAATTGGGTAACGGAATCACTGAAGGCGAAGGTCCTTCCTCCTCCGAGATATCAATCCCGGAAACATCTGCATCCGGCACAGGATCCATGTTCGCAGAACGGAGAGACTACCAAAACAAACAAGCAAACAGACAAAACGAATTGAAGCCAAGATGCTACCACGGCCAAACATCTTTGGTTACCGTTGCTTCTTTGTGTACTCCAGGCTACTAGAGCCACTTTAGGACCGTCGGGCCACACAAGCCCATCACCTGACCAATCGGGGCACTGTCTTTCCGGTTGCTCACTAGGAGCACTTAGACCCATCACCTGACACGAAAAGGGCCACTCTTTATAAATGCCTTTGCACCATTGACCTGTCCCGAAGGAGTACGGCCTGTTCTGTTACCATCTTGGGCCGCAAGAAACGTACCCTGGCAGTCCGCAGGAGCGGTTGTTGCCGTTGGCGACAAGGCCACACACGGAGTTTGGGGTCCATCAGGACACAACCAATCACTTCCAGTTTTGTCATAATATGTTGCTAAAGTCGACGAACACCTGAGGTCTAAGTCACACCTGAATGATCAGATTGCAGCAACCATGCAGGAACTCAACTGTGGCAAACATGAAGCTGTCACTCTAGTGTTGGTTACTCCAGTGCCTCAGGGGGCCCACCGGCTAATCCGAAAGCAGGTACACAGTGGTGATCAGCCACTGCATCCACTCCAGTGATTTGGCTTCGTTGGGCAAGGCTGATCACTGGAGCCCTTGCCCCCCTGCTGACAAAGGAACATTGTAGCATCGGAAATCACTTGCATCGCACATGCCAAAAACCTCTAGCTTAGAATCGAGGCTTACACACACACACACACACACACGGAGGCTTCGTACTTGCGGAAGTTTAAGGGCCTGCAAAAACAGCTACGCGTAGTAGAACACCTGAGTAGCTTGAGAGTTATGTCATGCCACAGAAGGTCAACGAGCCCGCCCAGCAGGTGGCCTTTGCCGACAAGGTGCGGTTAAACCCTGAACATCCCTAGACCGTAAGGGGCCATATACGTATATGATGTATAACAGTGCCTCAAGCCTTACTTCTGCACCAGTGTGCTGAAGCCTCTGGCGGCGCAGAGTGCGGTGGTTTGCAAGTTTTGACTTGCCGGAGTTGTTTGTGCTGTGAGGCCGGTTCGGGATTTGGAGAGTTGCGGCTGCGAGGTGCTGTTGAACAAAGTCGATGCAGTGAGCCGGGACAAGGCAAAAAGCAGCAGCTTTTGGATGTTGCGTCGTGGTGCGACTCGCATGAGAGCTGCAGGCACAAGAGACAATTACGGCGATTCGATCTGCTCCCTCCTCAAGAGTCGGAGTCAGGGAGTCTCGGCCTCTTCAAAGCAATTCCGAGATCAATGCCTTCGCTCCAGTGGTGGAGTGCAGCCTGTCTCTAAAGCCGGATGCCGTTCCGGTGGAGGAGAGGGACGGTGACCAAACGGTGACGCAGCGCTCTGCGTGTTCTCCGCTGTGAAGGAGCTGGTGTCCATAGAGTCTTTCGACTTGACCCGGCTGCTCACAGTGGAGAGTGAGCAAGGATAGGAGTTCTGCCTTCGATGGGAGCAAGAGACCGGTCGGCTGGCTTCAGGAGAGGTTGACCTGGCAGCGGTGCCAGAGTCGCATTCGGGTCACGAGCACTCTCATGACTCGCACTCCCACGGTGCAAGCCTCGGTGTCTTTGTCAAAGTCACCACATCGATGCGGTGCTCCTCAGTTGCCCTGCAGAGTGAAAGCTCACGGCCCCTGTGCGTTTGGCTTTGTCGGCGAAGGCTGTGAGGATCCAAACTGCACGGATCCTTCCCATGGCGCCCATCACAGTCACAGTGGCTCGACTGCATGCTACTTTGCTTCGAAGGGCATTCTCTTGCACGGCGGACCACAAGAACCCCCGAACCCTCAACACCCAAGACTCCCAAATCCCCAAACCCGTCATTTTGACTTTAACTACTTCGCAACTGCTTCATCACAACACGGTGGCCTGGGGGTGTGCATGTTGCCTTGTCTTGGCGGCAGATGAGTACAGCCCAGAGTCCGCAAACACTGGATCTCTCGGCGAGGTCACGATGCAGATTGCTGGGGCCTCCTTCTGCTTGGGTTTGGATGCCTCTTCTATCCGAGCGTTCTTCTAAGGGTGAGCTGAGAGCTGAAAACGGAGCTGCGAAGCCGACGGGGTGGTCCTTGTGAAGAGAACAGGGTCGCCTCGAAGACCCGGCGCTGAGGCTCGGACTCCTCGCATGACCACCACGACCACCACGACCACCACGACGCCCACGACCATACCCACGACAGCCACACCCACCACGACACCGACATCGGATCCATGGTCTCCCGGCCGAATCCAAGGTGGCTTCCTTGCTCCTACTAGCAGTGTTTCGTTGCCAGCCCACGGAAGGATCGAAAGCAGCGCGTCTCTGCCCCGCAGAGCTAAGAAGCATCCCCAGACGCTGGCGCAGCCCCGCAGCCACCAGGGCCACCAGTAACAGAACCGCGGCTTCTTAGTCTTGAGCGACTCTTTCGCTGTGTTTCTAAGGTTCTGGAGCTGAAGGGTGCCCCGATGGACATCCCGCGCCCGAGGCCCCAGAGGCCGAGCAGCGAAAGAAAGAGAGAAAGAGAAGCGAAGCGAAAGGCACGGCTTCTGGTGAGTCGGGTTGTGCTGTGCAGTTCTTAGCATTTCTGGGCAAAGACAGCAGAAGTCGGAAGACCAACGGCTTCCTGCAGAAGTTAGGTCTTGTCTGTTTCACTGCCCACCTAGGCGTGCATTGAACTATTCCATTGGAGTCTGCGCCTCCCTAGAAGCAGGCGTTGGCATGTTTTTTCCTCCACGATCGGACGAATCGATTGACCCACAATTGCTGACGTTTGGCCGATGCAGAATGGAAAGGAAAGCATGGGTGTTGGATGAATTCAACCCTTGTCTTTCCCAGTCGACGCATTTCAACCCTAGGCTACTAACTGTTGTTTATCACCTGCTTTTTCTCGGTGCCTGTGTCGATGTCGAAAAGGTGGATGAGCTTCTGCTGCAGCAGCTGTTTCGGGTTTCCGCGGAATGAGGCTACATTGAACGGTTTGTTGCTGATTTTGCGGATGCTTCTTGTTGTGCGTTTTCGGCGTTGGCATCCTCTGCCTCAAACGTCTGCAACCCTCCATTCTTGGCGGGAGACAAAAGGAATGCAAAGTGAGGCTTTAACCATCTGCTGGACGAGCTGCTGGAGCGCAGCGTGGACCTCTATCGCACGGGCCTCAGAAAGACCAGCGGGTTTAGGTGCAGGTTGGGGCTGGACTTGTATAAACTAGGGTTCACTGACCGGTGGATCAGATCAGCCTGATTTCCCAGCAGGTCTGAGCAGCCAACATCCTAACAACGGCAACCAGGACATGCTCAGAATCATGGCGCAACCGGTACAGGACATGAAAGCGGGCGGCCCACTCGAGAGGCGAGTCATGTTGAACACATTCATGAAAGCACGACATGATGAACTTGATGCTGATGGTGATGACGATGACAAACTCGACAGTGCAGAGAGAACTGAGGCTGGTGAGGCATTAACTCAAGCATCACTGATGCTGACCATACTCGTGGTACAGCAGCGATAAGAGCATTGAGTGCAAGATGTTGGGTTGTGCAAGTGACGGCTGGTGTTAGTTTAGCGACTAGCTTGGCATTGACAGTACCACCACCATCAACAGCAGCAGCAGCAGCAGCAGTAGCAAAAGCAGCTGAAACAAGAGCGTCGTAGTCGTAGTGGTGGCTGAGGCTACAAGGGCATCCTGGCCTGTGCGCAGGGAGGCAAGGTGGTCCGCCTCGTCCTGCAAGGTGCCAGGAACTCAGCCACGTTCCGAAAGGGCCTGGGGACTCGGAACCTTGGGGCCTTAGGGGTTTACTTTAGGCTTACTTCCCGTTCTCAGGTGCACGACATGCTGGATCTCTCCTTCTCCGGTGAGTGGCCGTCAGAGCAGTGCCGGCTTTGTTGCATTACTTGGCCCTTGGATTGGGAGGGGCCCAGTAGTGAGGGCGCCGACTACTGAGTAGTGCCCGGCAGGAAGCCGCTGCGCACACAGGCCGGGTGAGTCGGCTTCAGTTGAGTCTGCAGGCAGAATCGACTTGCAGGTGGTCCTCATTGGGAGAAAGCTCGACAAGACGGCACTGGAACAGCGCTTCCAGGAATGTGCTCTGCTTCCAGATGTGGTCTGAGCCGGCCTTGTCTTGCGCGGCAGTTCGGGACACATGCCTCAAGGCGATGCAAGAGCAAAGCCCTTGACGATCTCTGGCTTGCGTGCTGCAGAATCGCAGTAGGAGGACGATCCCAAGGATCTCCGCAATGTCGGCAACGTAGACGAAGCTCTGGACTCATCGCAGGTTCGGCCAGATTCTCTGGCATTCCGTGGATGCAAAGCACGGGTGCAACATGATGTACATATAGCAGGATCTCATATCCGGGCAGTTGCTTCTGGCAAAAGCTGAATTTCGGGCGAGCAGTGCCTGTTGGTGCTCGTACTTGTGGTAGTAGCATGGCACAGAAGCCAGGGTGCAGAGCTGCCTGACAGAGCTGATAGCCGGATGGCAGATTGGCTGAGTAGCAGAAGAACAGCATCGCTGTGACTAGTGAGCGACATGTTGCACACCGGGTAGAGCTGTTTCCCGCAGTCTTGCCAGGTGGGCCAGCTTCACGGAGTGCCAGGAGGTTGGTGGCTTCTTCTAACTTGCGAGCAGAGGTCGTTGCCGACAGCTTGCTTGTGAAATACAAGCTGGACGATCGGAACCGTTCGGGTTTCATATTATCCCAGTGACGCTTGCTGCGAGCTGGATTGGCTTAGGTCTTGGAAAAATCACGGGGTTGTGTCAGCGATTTCCACGGATATGCTTGGGATGCACTAACTAAATCGATACCGACAATCCGGGCCAAAGCCAACGTATTGAAGCCTTGGAGAATTGAGCCTATCTAGCTTGGGGCATCTCGTCGCAGTTCAGACTTCGGTGCGACATAGTGTTGACAGCAGGCGTCAGCCACGTGCATCGCGGCAAGCCATAGTGGCACCTCCTCTCGAGGACTCGTTGCTGCTCGCGGTCAGAGCGCCAGGTTCAGTATTTCAAGACTTACCGTCCAACAATGGGGGTCGAGCAGGCATGTAACAAGGTGGGTGCGACTCAAAGCAGAAATGGGGTCACCATGCACTGGAAGCCGCCCACTTCCCTGCATTGCAGGACACCTTGATCCAGGCCAGCTTTCACGTTGGGTTTCGTTGAGAGCTATGGTCTCAGAGTAAGACGACCTTGCCCTTGCAACGAAACAGCCGCAACCTCTGACGCAAGGCGGGTCAGACGAGTAGCCGCGTAACCACGATGCTGATTGGTGATCGTCGATGTTTCTGGGTGACCAGGGACTGCTGAGACAACATGTCATGCTGAGCCCTGATCGGTGACACCACCAACAACGACAACAACAACATCATCAACCACCACCACGAACAACAACAGCAGCAGTGGCATAAGCAGCAGCACCAGCGCCAGCACCAGCAACAGTAACAGCAGCAGCAACAACTTGAATGGTTTGCAGTGGACTTTTCAGCATGTTCAGCGTATTTCCATGGATCTCGTGTGTATTTGCAAGGGTTTGTGTACATCTGCAAGGAGTTCGTGTATTTGCAAGAAAGTTGCGCGTATTTGTAAGGATTTTGTGCTTATTTCTATGGATTTGTAAGTATTTCCAGCAATATGTTACGTAATTATTTGTGTGGATTTTGTGTGTATCTGCAAAGTGTTGTGTCGGTTTGGTATGTATGTCCATGGATTTTGTGCGGCTTTGAAAAGATTTTGTGTGCGTATGTCCACAGCATCAGACTGGATTTGAGGGCCTCGGACCAAAGTCAAAGCAGCAGACGTGATCAATCCCGTCAACATCACATAAAACACGTCAATCTCCCCTCAAGTCCTTTTGAAACGTTCGATGTCTAATGCAAGCCCTTCAAAATTACAGCCAGGCCCTTTCAAGGCCCATGAGAACCCTTCTGGATTTCGAAGATTCCCATCCCTGTGGTGGAAATGTGGTGTAGTGTGAGCGGTTGTTGTAAGGGGGGGGTCACAACAACAGACGGGGCTGCATTTTTTGTCTCTACCACAGGAGAGACACAGTCCTGATTTCAATGGGGCCTCCCCTTTTACAACAACCACCCGGCCCACACCGCATTGCTATCATGGGGCAGTTGCTGTGTAAACCATGGCTGGCATTAACAACAGCAACAGCAACAGCCGCACCACCACTACCACCACCACCACCACCAACAACAACAACAAGGTACAAACAACAACTGCAGCCCCGTCAACCCATATGTCTGCTTTTTGTCTGTACATTAGGTAGAGACAAAAACAGGAGCCCCGTCATGTTGTTTTACCCCCCAACAACAACAGCAACAGCAACAGCAACAGCAACAACAACAACAACAGCAACATCATCAACAACAACCACCACCACCACCACCACCACCACCACCACCACCACCACCACCACCACCACCACCACCACCACCAACACCAACACCAACAACAACACCACCACCACCACCACCACCACCACCACCACCACCACCACCACCACCACCACACCACCACCACACCACCCAACCCCACCACCACCACCACCACCACCACCACCACCACCACCACCACCACACACACCACCAACAACAAACAACAACACAACAAGAACAAGAACAAGAACAAGAACAAGAACAAGAACAAGAACAAGAAGAAGAACAACAACAACAACAACAACAACAAGAACAACAACAACAACAACAACAACAACAACAACAACAACAACAACAACAACAACAACAACAACAGTGCCTGTGGATGCCTGTGATGTATATTGTTTGGTGTGTGTGTTTCAAGGATTTCGTCTGTATTTCAGTGGATTTGGTGTGTATTTCAATGGATTTCGTGCATTTCAATGGATTTCGTGTGTATTTCAGTGGATTTGGTGTGTTTTCAGTGGATTTGGTGTGTATTTCAGTGGATTTGGTGTGTATTTCAGTGGATTTGGTGTGTATTTCAGTGGATTTGGTGTGTATTTCAGTGGATTTAATGTTTTGCAGTGGGTTTGGTGTGTATTTCAGTGGATTTGGTGTGCATTTCAAGGATTTTGGTGTGTATTTTCAATGGATTTGGTCTGTATTTCAGTTCCCCGCTGTGCAGATTATGCATTTGCGAGGCCTGTACAAACAACTGCATAGTTTCTGGTAACTATAGTTTTGAGTGTATGGGTATCCAATGCAAACCCCTCAAAATTCCAGCCAAGCCCTTCCAACACCCCTCAGAACCCCTTCTGGATATCGCAGATTCCTTTTCCTGTGGTGGAAATATGGTGTAATGTGGGCGGTTGTTGTAAACGCGGGGTGTCAAAACAACAGACGGGGCTCCAGTTTTTGCCTCTACTACAGGGGGTAGGGACAAAGTCCTGATTTCGCTGGTGCCTTTGTCTCTACCCCCTGTAGTAGAGGCAAAAACTGGAGCCCCGTCTGTTGTTTTGAACCCCCCTTTTACAACAACCACCCAGCCTACCCCACATTTCTATCATGGGGCAGTTACTGTGTAAACCATGGCTTGCACTTCCCAAAACTCTACAGGCACCCTATGCGGTCGCCGGAAGCATTCCCAATTGCTTCAAATTAACAACAAGTACGGGCTGCTGTTTTTGTCTGTACCAACAACAACACCAACAACAACAACTTGGAGCCAACAACAACAATAACAACAACATGGGAGCTAGCAACGACAACACCGGCAACTGCGACGGCACCTGCACCGGCGGCGGCAGCGGCAACGACAACACCAACAACACCGTCAGCAACACCACCACCGCCACCACCACCACCGCCACGACCACCACCACCACCACCACCACCACCACCACCACCACCACCACCACCACCACCACCACCACCACCACCACCACCACCACCACCACCACCACCGCGGCAGCAGCAGCTGCGGCAGCAGCAACAGCCACAGCAAGAACAACCGCAACTACTAGTACAACAGCAGCAGAGGCGCGCAGAGGTTCTCGGAAGGATTCTCTTGAGTGTTGGCAGGGACCGGCTCGAGAGGGTTGCACCTCCAGTGACCCCACGGGGCATAGGCTACATCGGCTACATATCCTCGTGGGGTCCTCCTGGATGATGTCCTCCTGGACGACGGGCTACACGACCGAGGGTATCCAGTATCCAACACAGCTACAGCTACAGAGCTACAGGCTACAGCTGCAGCGATGGCAACCGTGGTTGCATGACGACCGTTGTTGTGGTTGTGGTCTTTGTCGTTATTGTCGTACTGGCATTGATAGCCGTAGAGTCTGGGACTTGGCAGGTCTTCCAGGACGGTGTGAAGGCCGGGGGAGTAGCTGACAGACTGTGCGTTGGGGACATCACATCCAAGCCTCGTGGGTGTTTGAGGGTTTAGGGTTTAGTTTTGAGGGATGCAGGGCGTCGCGCTGTTTCGGATCTTCATGGCCCAGGGCCCAATTGCAGGTTCTGGGAGACAGCGAGAAGATGGAGCGCTCCAGGCAGGCTACTGTTGTTTCTTGCCGCCACGGTGAACTCCCACTGCCGCTGCTACTACTACTACTACTACTACTACTACTCCTACTACTCCTACTACTACTACTACTACCACTACTACTACTGCTGCTGCTGCTACTACTACTACTACTACTACTACTACTACTACTACTACTACTACTACTACTACTACTACTACTACTACTACTACTACTACTACTACTACTACTACTTACTACTTACTACTTACTACTTACTACTTACTACGTACTAGTTACTGCTTACTACTTACTACTTACTACTTACTGCTTAACTACTTACTACCTACTACCTACTACCTACTACTTAGTACTTACTACTTACTACTTACTACTTACTACTTACTACTTACTACCTACTACCTACTACCTACTACCTACTACTTACTACTTACTACTTACTACTTACTACTTACTACTTACTACTTACTACTTACTACTTACTACTTACTACTTACTACTTACTACTTACTACTTACTACTTACTACTTACTACTTACTACTTACTACTTACTACTACTACTACTACTACTACTACTACTACTACTCCTGCTGCTGCTGCTGCTGCTACTACTACTACTACTACTACTACTACTACTACTAGCCACCGGGCTGGGCAGCGGTAGTTGCTAGGCGCCTTAATTGCGACAGTTGCAGAAGACGCAGGGGCTGAGGCTCCTTATCTGTGACAGCTGCAGAGGTTGCCGAGGCTCAGTTTCCTTAACTGTCACAGCCGGTGAAGTTGCAGGGGCTCAAAAACTGCGGCAGCAGCTGGAGTTGCAAGCTCGACGGGGAAGACACTGCTAAACCGCAGGTGGTCGGATAGAACGAAAACGCTGTAAGTACCTTGCCAAACGCAGGTGCTGCCAAGAAGGGTTTAACATTTCTAAAACCAGAAGCGCAACATCTTCTAAGCATCAACAACAAAGATGCCAGCTGTACGTGGGAGGGGCTCGCCAACATCCCTACCGCCCAACCTCGGCGTAGGAGGGTCTGTTTTTGAAGTGGTGTGTGTAGTGTGTGTGCGCGCTTGTGTGGAAATATTGTTCAGGGTGTCCGCAAAACAGTGTCGTGATCATCCCCGAAGAAGCCTTCCCCCACCCGATTTCGAGTTTTTTTGCAGGCAGTTCGAAACAGCAAAGGTTAATACGCATAGTCGAGAAGTAGGGGCTCAGAATATGTAACAACGTCTGACATCACGAAAGTATCGTAAATACCGAGTAAAACGGCTCTTGTGGTGATACAGTTGGGTGTGTTTGCATAACACTCTCGTCATCATCCCCCCACCTCCCACCCCCTCCCAGAAGCAAGTCCAAAATCAAGAGCCTGAGTTTGCAAACTCGACAAGTCGATTTTGAGGCCTCTTGTGATGATCGCGCATGACGAAAGTGCCGCAAATGCCGAGTAAAATGGATGTTGTCTTAACGTGTTTTTTTTGCCAGTGCCCTGCGCGCTTTTCCGTAGCGCGCTTCGGCGCTCGCGCAAAGGAACTCTTCAGGTCTCGGTTTATGGAGGCGTATACTAGGTGTTGTCCTAGAATTCCTTTACCAGGGTTCTGGGTCCAATGGTTCTTAAAATGCCTTTGCGTTGTGATCTCTATCCAGCAAGGCACTTTCATTCCTCCCTCTACGTCTGCCTGTCACGACTATTCAGTCTTTATAAGCTGCGGTTAACACCACATTATGAAAGGGGTTCTTAACATGGTTAAGAGCAAGTGTAGTTGGAGGGGGGGGTGCCTACAACAACAACAACAACAACAACTACTACTACTACTACTACTACTACTACTGCTACTGCTACTGCTACTGCTACTGCTACTACTACTACTACTACTACCACCACCGCTGCTGCTGCTACTACTACTCCCGCTCCCACTCCGACTCCCCCACTCCCACTCCCACTCTCACACCTACTACTCCCTCTCCTTTGCCTCCTGCTCCTCGTACCGCTGCACCAGCACCACCAGCTTTTGCTCCTCCTGGACGAGCTTTCTTGCGAACTCATTGACCAAAGAAGCCGGTGCATTTGCCGCATACAGGACTCGCAAATGGAGGATCGAGGAGGAGGAAGAGATAGCTGACGGGGCCTTGTTGTATGGGAGGCACCCGGAAGACCAAAGCCCCGTCCCCTTGAGATTTGTTGCGGCATTGCTGACGTGTTGCAGATTCTGCATCGATGGCATTCCGCCTCGTCAGGTGCGCATGTTGTCGTCCGAAATAGCATGCTTGTCCTCAAGCTGCACAGGGAGGAACGGTGGGAAATACCTTGCGAAGAACGCTTTTGCGACAGGACCTCATACCTCGCTCTCCGCATGTCATCCTTGGCACATGATGTGGCTTGCAGTCTACCAGGACTTGTTTAGAACCTATGCAGCGGTGGCCTTCCGCTTGCGTTACCGATCCTACAATGATGCAGCCTCGGATTCATTTTGATGCGACAGTGGGGCCTGGGACGAACTGGGGGCCTTTCAGGTGGATCAAGGGAAAATCCACGTGTCCCGAGCGCAGCCGGCGCTCCACGAGCCCGAAGCCCGGCTGCCTGTGCTCAGATGCGAGCTCTCCGTCCCGGTGCCCCCAAGCTCAGATTCTCGTCTGTCCCGGGCGTGCAGGCGGGTTGCAGTGCTGGGGTGAAAAGATCAGGTGAGTCAGCATGATCTCGCTCAGGACTGCGATCTGGACTTGCAAACCCAATATTCAACCAACCGTCAATGTCTCTAACGTCCGCAATTGCATCATGCATGCCAACTCCCTTTCACGTAAAGCTTTTGCCTTTTGAAGTCCAGCTTCACTCAAACCTCGAGCTTGAATGCTTCTGCGAGGAGTCCATGATCGATGTTGTGCGCAGTGTGCAACAGCTGACTGTTGCCAGAGCACCGTGGCAGGCGGTTCCGGGGTGCCTTGTTGGACCGGTTTTGCCAGATTTCAGTCCCATTCTGACGGATCGCCCCGATGGTTGGGGAGAAGACATGACGAATGTTTTTTTCACGTTTTTGGGATTCAATCGCTTGCCCCTGCCACGAACCAGGCGCCCTCGGACCTTCCGCTGTCTGCCATGGCATCTGAACATCCAGGCTCCCGCGTCGGAACGGGGCTCGGGGGCTGCAAGGCTCAGGTAAGGTAAGCAGTTCCATTGTAGAGTGGCTTGAGAGATCTTGGGAGTTCTGGCACAAGTAGGACTCCCTCCTGAGGGAACACCGGAACACTCTTTGTCTGTATGTCGGTCTGTCAGTATGTCAGACGTCAACAGCAGGACAGTTCTGCTGCAAGCCATCATCCCTTGGATTCCAACTTTGGCTTTAGATTTTCAGGATTTAGCTGTTTGCCTGGAGGAAGGCAGGGAATTTTCACGTCTGTGGACAGGAGCTGCTGGGAAAACGAGGATGCTTGAAGAACAGCATTTCATGTCGCAGCCATTCGCATATTTTCATGAGTCATCTCCTTCCCGCATCGCGGGGATTCTCTGGGTCTCTCTGGCTGCGCTCAAATTTTTGAAGAAGGCGTTTGGAAATGAAGGATAGTGTCTGTACCGTGCACTTCTGCTCCAACAGCCACCGCCTGCATTCGCTACTGCTATTTCTACCCTTCCCCTTCTTCCGATGACTACTGCTCTGCCACCGCCAACACACTGGCACTGCTACCGGCCAGCGCATCTGCAGCTGCACTGTTGTGTCCCTCGTGAACATCACTAGCGTGTTTCTCTTCTTATTGCGACTCCCTTTACCACTTGCATCCACCTTTCGAGCCAGCGAGGCGAACCCGACGTCTGGCGCTGGGCCACGCGTCGTTGCGGGCCGTGCCCTGTCAAGGTGGGACCGTGGGATTTGGCCTGGTTGGTGGGTTTGTGAGTCTGAATTGTGTTTTGCAGCCGGCATGATGTGTTTACCCGGTTCGCCTGACACTGTTTTCGGATGGTGTCTCCAGGTCAACTGAGGGGATACCATAGACTCCACATGACTCAACCGCTTTGCGTTGGCTTTATCCTTCCGAATTACTTGATGTTTGCACCGGCAGTCTCCGGAGACCCTGGATGAACTCGACAGGCGCAAGATCTGGACATGGTTGACAGCTCTTCCTTCTACGAACAGCCCTCCGGCAAGTTGGAGAGGGGTCACGGAAGGGGACCGGAGGGCTCATGTCACGCCTGCTTGCTTGAAAATATCAACCTGATTCCGGTCAAGCGTGTGGACAGGCCCACCTACTTGCCAATTGGGCAGCAGCACTTGCTGCAGATTTCTGCCGGAAGCTTGTACCATTGCCTGCTGCGCAGCTCTCTAGACGGGGCCGTCGCCAAGGCCCCTGCAATGATCGAATTCGAGGTTGAAGCTACGCGCTCTCCTCGGACATGAGACCGTTGGAGTCAACTGGAGGCTTTGAGCCTTTCAGGTGCGCCTCGCAGACGGAATGGGAAATCTCTGGGGCCTTCGAAGAGTGCTCCGAACAGCGCTCACTTCAGTCTGTGGGGAGCAAGACCTTGGTTTCCAGGTACCGACAGCGCCTGCGCTCTGATCGGTGGCTTCTGGTGCCTCCCCTGTTCTCGCCTGTGAAGAAGGCCTGCGTGTGTCGAAAGCTCGCGTCCGAGCAAGCCGTGGCGAAGTCTCGCAGGTGAATTACATGGTCACGGCGAGCGACGACGACACGGAGCGAAATCTGTTCTCTAATTCTCCCATGCTGCAGCATTACACGCGATGTCAGCGGTGTCCTCGGCTCAGGAGTCGGTACAGCTGGAGGTGTGGACAACGAAGGCAGCCAGGCCCGCCGCCGGCCTCGTCTCCGTCCTCTCAGAGCGTCTGAGTCTAACTCATCTCAGCTGTTTGGGCTTGCCAGAGCCATGGGATTCCATCCTTTGAAGCAGCTTGAAGCCAGCCGAAGCTGCAAGGGACAAATGGGAGGCCCAAAGAGGCCTCCTCTGAAGTTGCTCTCATGGCGACGGTACTCAGCGGTGGCAGCTTGTGCCCTGGACGGCTCTTGGTAAGCCTGTGCCTGTTTGCTTGCTCTCTTCAGGCTACTGTTGATCCTCCAATGTGAGGTGTGACATGCTCGATGAGCATTGCGACCTCTCTGACAGCTGATTCGGCGAGTGTCAAGGTCATCGCTGGGGGTTCATCACTTGCTTACTTGACTTAACTGCAGTGGTAGACCCCATACCTGCAAGTTGCAAGGACCTGTCGTTCTCTGGCCAGTTTCGGCGGCGAGGAGTGGTTTGGGTTCCCCTGGCATGCCCGTGGCCGGCGCTGGCCACGGAGCTCGAGGGTGCACGGGAGCGCGTGGCCGCGGTGGCTCAGAAGGCCGGGAGCCTTGTGGGTTTCACACAGCTGCCTTGATTGTTTGATGGAGTGATGATCCCGACGCAGCTGGAAGAGCTGGCCAACACGGAGACCTTTGCCAAGGTGGCTGCCGGAGGAGGTGATAACATCAGGCGCATCTTTTCCCTTCATGGTGCAACGGTGCGGTATGCTCTTCTATGTCGGAGTGCAACGAAACCTTGTTAGGCGGGAGCTGGGGACCGTTGGAACGACCTCCCCCTTGTTCGACGCCGAGAAGGCCTGACGCCCCTGAAGACAAGAGGGGAAAAGGGGCCCCAGAGCCCGGCGTTCGGGTCCAAGCGAACCGAGGCTTTCAAGTCCTTGGCCGAGGAGGTGGAGGATCCGGAGCTCTACTTTGAAACCTTGGAGAAGCTCAAAGAGGTGGGAGGATGCGAAGAAGAAAACGTCTCCGCGGGAGCCATGCTGTCCCAGGCCGTGAGCAACGCGGATGCGGATGCCTACTCGAGTATTTTCTCCATGAACTCTGCGGCTGCAACGCCGCCACAGGCTGGAGCTTGAACGACACCGCCAGTTCATCTCATTCTGCTGGGACTGCGTGCGGAGAGGTTTACACGGATCGATCCTTCAAGGACTCCAACTTGTTCTTGCAAGATCTTGCAAGCAATGGGAAGTCTCCGTGTTTGTCCCGGCTCGGGTCCAGAGAGTCTTCCAGGAGGTGCAAGATGCGCGCTCCGCCGTGCGGCAGCTGCTGGCAATGCTGAAGAAGTAGCGTAGTGGCCGGCCTTGGGGGTTGCAGCGGTTCTGGGGATAAGGGCTTGCAGTGCTACGTAGGGTCACGAGACGTCTATGACTCTAGGATCCTCTTGGCTAACTCATGTAGGCCGTGAGATGCCGTGAGGCCCGAAGCAAGGTTGCGAAACAGAAAAAGGGACGCTCAGCAAAAGTGCACAAGTTTTAGGAAACCTTCTGTTCTCTCGCCCCAAGAATTTGTAAAAAGGCCCTCGAGCCTGGTTCGAACGTCGGCTGCCTCGCTTTTGGCATCTTTGGTCGGGCGACGGCTGGAGGCTTCGTGCTGTGACTTTGGGGACTGCCACACTCTGCCTCTCTCTCTCTCTCTCTCTCTCCTTCCCTCTCCCTCCCTCTCTCTCTCTCTCTGCCACTCTCCCTCTCTCTCCCTCCCTCTCCCTCTCTCCCTCTCTCTCTCTCTCTCTGTCTCTGTCTCTCTGTCTTTCCTCTCTCTCTGTCTTTCCTCTCTCTCTGTCTCTCCGTCTCCGCCTCTGCCTCTGCCTCTTTTTTGTCTCTGTCTCTGTCTGTCTCTCCTTGTCTCTCTCTCTGTCTCTCTCTCTGTGTCTCTCTCTGTCTCTCTCTCTCACCTTCTCTCTGTCTGTGTCCCTCTCTCTCTGTGTCTCTCTGTCTCTCTGTCTCTCTGTCGCTCTGTCGCTCTGTCTCTCTGTCTCTGTCTGTCTCTCTCTGTCTCTCTGTCTCTCTGTCTCTTCCTCGCTCGCTCTTGCTCTAACGAGCGGGCCACAGGGATTGCCTGTGGCTCACAAGCAAAGGAGGAGGACTGCTCCCGCTCCTAGCCCCTAGCAAAGCAAAGAGAGAGAGAGAGAGGCAGCTTGCCTTCCCATCGCACATCTGCAGGGAGATGCCGATGCTGAAGCCGATGCCCCAGTTCAAAAAAAGCAGTCGGGATAATCGTGAAGAGCGCGCTTAGAATGAAGGTGCATTGTGTACGTACGTACTTTACAGCGCCAAGCGCTTGACAACTCAGACAAGCTCAGAAATGATTCTCAGGCGCTGCCCTCAGGCAGGGGGGGCAGGAAGGAATTTGAGGGTTCAGTGGGCGAAGCAGTCCTTGGTGCGTGCTTCTCTTTGAAGGTCCAAGGCGAGGGAGTTGACTTGGCAGAACTTTAGCTTGCAAGGAAGTTCAGACTTCCTTTCGGTGATTGCGGGATTGCAGGAACTTCGGGCAAGTGGAACAATCTCCGTGAAACGCGGCTGCAGGCATCGCGGGTTCCGCCGGTGATGCCAGCGCAGACAAGGCACCGAAGTGTCAGTGCTGTTGTTGCTACATCCGATCTGGGTTGGAGCTTCATGTTGCCGCTCTCTTGCTAGGGGCAACTGACAGACCGTCTTGCTGAAGGCACCTCTGCATTGCACTGTGGGAAGGGAGACGTTTCTATTTGCAGCGCCCGCAGACGGTGAAGCCTATGATGATGGCCAAGACGCCCTCGATGAGCTGCTCAGCAGCTCTCAGCTCAGTGGGCTTTGGAAGGATGTGGCTAGCCGCTAGGCCCGATTGCGCCTCCAAGGTGCCAGCCAAACGGAGGCGGGCATTAGAGCCAGCGACGATGACGAAGGCCCAGAGCAGTCTGTCTGGACTGCTTCGTGGGAGACCGCTTTTGATTGCTGATTTGAGGCATGCGAGCCCTGACCGAGGGTTTGTTCGATCTGTGATGCAAAAGAGCGTCCTGTGCCAGCTGCCCCTTTCGCAACCTTTCCTGCACCGAAAATCACTCGACACGCTGCCTTCTCGCGAGCAGATTCACGAAGCCCTCCGTGTGCACTCCCCCCCGCTTGCTCCTTGGCCCGGAAGCTGTGTGCGGAATACGGCGGTCCATTCCGAGATAAGCAGAAGTACCATAGTCTCATATAATTAGTTACAAGAGAGCTAGCACCAATTTGTTGTACACGCGAGCTCCCAACGTCCGAACAAAAACGCGAAACTGACGCCCTGTAATTACGCAAGTGGCAGCTGGAGGAGCTAAGCCCCTAAACCCGAAACCTTCAACCTCAAGAGGATCTGGCTGTGAAGGATGGATGATGTACACTCATTGTAGTTGTGTATATTTGTGTACTTACGTCCCTGTTTTCGTGCGCATGTCGAATTACCTGTTCGTCAAGTACTTCAATCAAGCAGTGAAGATAAACAGGTACATCCGCATGGGTCCATTGCAACACGAGACCAACTCGTACACCCTGTTCTCCCAACGACAGGGCATTCAACCATGACAGATCCTCACCGTTTGAACCATCTCTAGGATAGTGTGCATCGCCTGCAGCAATCTGCAGCACCGCGCCATGGGCTGGGCAGGCCGGAGCAGTGTCTTAGCAGAGCTGGCTCGAATCTGGTTGGGCCTGCACGGCGTCGCTGAAGCATCGGCAACGCCTTTGGTGTGTGACGTCGAATTAAGCTTGGCGTCAACCTTGTAGCTTGTTTTGAAGGTGCATTGCGCGCTGGGCTCTGCCTTCTGGTAGCTGTCCCGGCGATGCTTCAAGCTTGTGTACCAGAAGAGACAACACGAAGACATGCAGCGCGTGAGGCTTGGATTCCGCTGGAGGCCAAGCTGCAGGCGAGAGCGCGGGCAGCAGAAGCAGGGGGGGGGTTTGCCTGTGTGCGCAGGTGGCGCAGCTTCATCTTGGAGGAGTCCAGAGGCGAGTGGCTGTGAGGGCGTGGACTGTGGCTTCCGACCTGTTCGGGTCCAAAACGCGTAGCTTCAGCAAGGCATAAATGCTTCGAAACTGCTGTTCACAGGTGGGGCTTCATGTCGAAGTTCGGCTATGCTCCGGGCAATGGCACCTACCGTCTCCGAGTGCGCGTGCCCTCGCAGACCAGGAGGTGATTCCGGGCGTGGTCTGATGTTTTTCGCGCGGAGGGGGAAGTCCCGTGTGTTCGTCGCAGGCCTGATGGGAACGTCACCCTCCGCTTTGAAAGCTATCTCGATGAGGACGAGACTCTTGGTGGCTAGATTGCGAGTGGTTTCAAGGAGTGTTCTTCAATCGCCGTTCGGGTTCAAAGTCGATGAGCAGCTGTCTCTTGCAGCCTTGTAAACAGACTATGATGCAGTCATGGAGCAGGCCAGCATGACCCCTCTGGCACGGTGGTGATGGAGTGTCGGCATCTGGTCCTCTTGGGCTTCACCTGTGCGACTGTGTCAACTGTGCTCATCGTTTGGCAAACAGGCTGGAAATGTAGCCAGCCGGTGCTACTGACGGCCCCTGAATTGACTGCTGCCCCTTCGTCGCCTCACAGCGAGAATCGGACCCGAAGGCATGGGAAGGGCAAGGGCGGCAAAAAGAGTCACAACGATGACCATGACGACGATGATGATGATGGCCTGGGCCACGTGGAATCTGACTTGGAGCAGCTTCCCGACACGGTTGCGTCAGTGGCCGAGGCCGAGCCACCGGAGTCACCAGAACCTCCGGCACTGCCGGCCTCTCTGCCGGTCCCTGCCGATCCCACCGTTTCGCCGAATGGGCAAAGGCCGCCAAAGGAGTTTGCGGTTCTTCCCGGAGAGTGTGCGATGCGGCAGCGCACAAAGCAGCAGCTGCACTTCGACCATGTGCACAAGACAAATTCTTGGGGCAGCGACTCGCGCATTACCACCAGCGGCACAGGGAGTGATCAGAAGGGTGCGTACGACTGGGTGTATCACATCAACATGTTCATCTTGTGCCTTGAACCGCAAGTGCTACTATCAGCAGCAAGCATACAACATATAAACTCTTCTGTCCAACTTTCATCAGACCCTGCATGCTCTTCTCTTGTTGAAGCACCTTTGCTTGCCCTCCGGCAAATGAGGCAGTACAACATCCAGACTGTGGCTGATCTTCCGTGTGGTGATGTTGCGTGGCAGTTCTCTGTTCCCGGGATCAACAAGGCGAAGGCGTATTTCGGCGGTGACATCAGTGCTTCCGTCGCACGGCGAAATGCAGAGCAGTATACCTCCCACCTGAACAAAATTTTTCGCCGCTCGGAATGAATAGTGAATAATCGGATTGCTTTGTTTTGAATGTACTATTACTAGCACCCGATCTAGGTCCTTAAGAGCACGAGGCCACTGGGACTTGATTGAATGTGGTGTGCCCCAGTGCTGTCGGGGATCTTCCTGCGCTCCTTTCGACCTTGTCATCACGCGAGATGCCATTCAGCACATGACCGTCTTCGATGGATTGCTGGCTGTGAAGAGCATCGTGAATTCCGGGGCGAAGTACTTCGCCGTGTCGAGCTACTTGCCAGGCACTGTTGACAGGAAGTGGAAGTCCGTGGGGTTGTCGAGTCAACGGGCTCCTGCGCAGTCGATGGGTCTCAGACGCGAGGATGATTACATCCGAGAGTGCCAGACCAGTGAGGAACTCAAGCGGAAATTCTGCAAACCGGGCCAGCGAACGGAAGAAACGGGCTGGTGGTATCCAAATGTCATGCGGTGTTTCCCATTCAACTTTCCACCGCCGATAGTCGACAGGCCGAGTCACGAAACGTTCAAGATAGAGAACGATCATCTGCAGATTTATCGAGTTGATGACCTAAAGTCGGTCGTCGCTCAGTACGATGTCGCCGCACAGTTCTGTAGAACTGCCTGAGTGCAGTGCATGACATTGAAAAGTTGCCTGCCTGAACTTTGGTGCCGTTGCGTGCGGTCTTTGCATCTTGACTCCCTGGCAGCCAGGACTGGAGCGAGGTCCTCAGCATCGAGGTGCAATGCCCCCGAAATCCAGATGCTGCATTTGCCTTTGTAGATGCTTCAAGTTTCAGGGCCCTTTACTGCTATTCGGACCCGAAAATTTCTTTTCGTGTCGTTCTTGCAGCTGCCGCCGTGAGGTTGGTTGATGCTGGCTGTGCGGTTGTGAGACTTTGTTGTTGAGGCGAAACTAGTATCTGCAGAGGCCTCGGTGGAGGCTGTGGAAAGCATTCGTGTCGTTGGTCAAGGGGTCCCTACTCGTCCGGTCGTCTTAACGGATTTAGCGGATTTCCCTCAGCAGTCTTTGCATCCTCGGGGTTGTGTGGGTCCCTCCTTGGTTTCACGGCGTGGCCCGGAAGAGTCTGCAGCTGACCGCGGACATCGAACATAAGCTTTTGGAACAATCCACAATGAGCAAGGCATCGATTGGTCGTTGTGTGTCGGCAAGCCGTCATTGGCTATGCCCCAAAGCACAACCACAGAAACATACTGCAGCTGCTGTGCCGCTGCTGCTGCTGCCATTACCGCTGCAAATCTACTACTCTCCTACTCTCCTGCTCTCTCCTCCGTAAACTTTACGGCATTGTGAAAGCAACGGCCACGAGTCGTCTATCTTCTACTGCCTCGAGCCGCTGCGAAAAGGACCCCTGTTTGCGGACGCGAAAATCTCGAAAGACCTGGAACTTGAACGTTCCCAGCAACGGCCAGCTCGAGCCTCTTGTGCTGCAGTTCTTCGATGGAGCATGAGACGTTCGAGATATGGCGAAGGTGGAGTGATCCCTGGAATGGGCAAGTGCGGAACACCGTGAGGAGCCGGACTCCGCAGCGCGGCTCCCGGAATCTCCACGGCGAGCTGTCGGTAGGTCGCACGTTTGGTACTTCGTGCTGCTCCACTGTGGGGAGAAGCTGAAGGATCACAGCCAAGGGCTCGGCGGGGGCTCTCTGCTGGATGCTGCGCTCTCGGTCTCCAAAAGTCAGATTCGCGGAGTCTTTAAGAGGTGTCCGCTTCGAGTACGAGATCCGGCACCTCAACGAGGTAGCAGCGTAGCAGCGGCGTGCAGCGTAGCAGAGCCCGGCAGAGCCCGTCTGATCTTCCGAAGCGTAGCTCAGTGCTCTCCTCAGCAGGGCGACTCTCATTTCACCATCGAGAAGCAATGGACGCTCCCAGCGAATGTTCTCTCGCTGCTCTGCTTCCTGGCCTTCTCCATTCTCTTCGCTCGAAGGCGGCTGGGGTGGGAGCGCCTAATAGGCATCATGGACAGGAGGACTTGTGCACATGACGGCGTCTGCGCAGAAGCAGCTTCTTCAGCAAACGAAACAAACTTCGTCAGTGAGCTCCATCGACGCGTGCTTCTTCCGTGAGGTGCATCAGTGAGATGCGGGGAGTGGGCAAGCTCCACCCTGCCGGAGCCTTGAACAAGCCAGAGAGCCCTTGCCTTGCCTTGAGAGCCTTCTGATCTTACGAGTACTGCATAAGCGCGGGCGCTCTTTCAGGTGATCCAAGGCCTGGTGGCCGTGGTCGGCCTGGAGCTGCTGGCACAGCCCTGCCCTTGGCAGTTGGCAACACAACAGTCCTCACAGACTTGAGACGATCTCTCAGGTCCCTGCACGCTCTCCACCTCCTGAGGCCTGCCCAATACCGCAACCTGTGGCAGGCATAACTTGCGCACGTGTGACGGCCCGACAGATATGGCTACGATGGAAAGGGGCTTCGGCTGCTTGAGATCGTGGCGGAGCTCCTGTGGCCATCTCAGCGCTCAAGCCACAACTCAAGTCAATCCGAGCTGCACTGCTGCGCCCAGGTTTGTCCTGTCTCAGCTGGTGCAGTCGACGCTTCTGCTTCTCATAGGGCCCGTGCCTAAGTAGCCTTGGCATGTTCAGGCGCTCGATATGCAGCGAAACCGAGGTACGGATACACCTTGCTGCCAGTGGACATTGCACCAGACATGGCCGGGAGATGCAGCGCAGCAAATTGGAACTAGCACTGCGACACTGGTCGGTGAGTTCTCGGTTTTCGGTCGGAGGTGGTGTTGGCCTTCGGCATCGGTGCTGTTCTCCACATCGTCCTGGTGCTTCTGATCAAAGGGGAGGCCTGGGCCTCCTCGCCTCGCATTCCCGCTTGCCTTTTCCTTCTCCCTTTCGGAGAGGATGATGCTGACAAGTTCCACGACTACGAGAGCCTCGCTGGGAAGATCTTGCTGGCCAGATCTGCAGTGACAACCCCCCCGCCCTTTTCTCCGCTTCTTACCCTCCCTGGCCCTGTCGCCAGAGGCTCTCCGACTCATGCTCTTCGTCAGGGGCTTCGAACACTCTACCTACAGCAAGCACAGGCAGCCTCTTTTCTGACGCTGTGTCGCGAGGTGGGCTTCCTGTGGGCACTCAACGGAACGATGCAGGGAGCCCCTTTCAGGACCCAGTGATACCGTGATACCAGCACCTCCCCCTGCATTCCGCATTCCGTCAGCTTCGCAGGATCCGGCGTTTCCTTACGAAGTTCGGTTTCATCGGCCCCGGCCCCGAGAAAATCTTCCGAAATGTGCGGAAGCCGGAAGCAGAAGGCACGCTCTACTTTGTCGGCCCACCCATTGTGGTGCTACTGGTGTCTTTCTTTGCTCCGTGCCCTCCCAGTTAACACTATGCAGCTGCTTGTAACAGGTATAGGTGCAGTTGCAACTTAGCAACGAAGGTATTGGCGGCCTCCTATATTGACCAGCTGCCTGATGTTGCTGCAGATCTTGGACAGCAGTAGTCTGGAGATTGGACGTGTTCTCTTCATCCCGTAGCCATCGTTTCAAAAGCACGCGGGCCGAGGATCAGTACTGCCTGGTGGCTGAACCACCTGTTCTTATCGCGGGGGGAGTTCTTCGAGGTGGGACCTGTGGTGGCTCAGTGGCTCAGCTCCGTATTGAAGTGGCTATGCCAGGTCTCGGAGCTGAACTCCTCGTCTCTTCCGGGGGGCACTCCCCGGAGCAAGTCGCCCCGGAGTTCCCCTCGCTACGACCGAGACAAGTGCGCCCGCTCGAAAGGGGCTCCGATGGGCTCTCGGTGCGCTGTGCTGCTCTGCCATTGCGCCAGGCATGACTAGCTACTAGCAGCTGTTGGCGCGATGCTTTGGCCCTCTTGGGCCCCTGGATTCCTTGGATGGTTTCACTTCGAAAAGGGCGGTCGGACAAAGCTGAGACCTGCCTTGGGGCCGTTGCTAGTGAGCCGGGACACCGAGCGTGGTTGCCGACGCGGCCCCGAAAAAGGGCCCTCCACCGCCTTGAGAGTGTCGGACCCCCGGCTTTTGAACCAAAGCGTGAGAGATCTTGGCTCTTGGCTCTCTTGCAGTAGGCACTTTGTGTATCAAGGCTTTGTGATACTTAGCAGAGAGGCATGAGCCATGCTAGAAGTCCGCGTTTATCGCCATGGCCCAGCTTGATACCGTGTGGCTGCCTCGGTGTGCCTACTGCCACAACTGAAAGCCCCCGTTTTCCCAACGCAGGATGGCGGCTGGGGCTGTTGTGACTTCAGGGCCTGCCGAGCCGCCGTGGCTGGGCCACACCTGGACCGCGAGAATTCGGAACCGACCTTCCTCAAATTTCCCGAGTCCCTCCATGCCCTTTAAAGCCCCAGAGGATTCTCCATGATCCTAGGACCTTCGACTGTCCAGTGTCTTGACACTTTCAGATTGTAGGAGCCGGGGAGCTCTTGGCGATCGCTTCGTGTCTTGCCCCCGGCTGTCTTACTGGAAGACGGGTCAAAGAACACCATGGTTTCAGCTTCTGTCACGACAGAAGCCTGGAAGTGTCACAGTGGCTCATGCCAGGACTCTGACAGAGTTCGAGGCGGCCAGGGATGCGCACTATGGAGCCCGGGCAGCTCAGGCCGTGAGCAGTTGATGTCAACGGTCGAGCATTCCTGCAAAGATGGGGGGATCTGCTTCTGCAGTGACGGGCAGGCGAGCTATCGAAGGAGCCGCCCCATGGCAAGCCAGGCGTTCTGGGATGTGATTGCCACCGAAGTCGTGAATGCCAATTTGTCGCAATTTGTTTCTGTTCGTTGTGGCCAAATGCAGGCCGACAATGCGTGACTTAGCCAGTTCCGTCCAGTAAAGAATAAGTTGAGAAGAGGGGCCGGAGATTGCCGCAGGAGGTTAAGACTTCACAGCAAGTCCCAGGCAGAACACACACTCAACAAAACAACACGACTGTCGGGACTCTAGCCCAGGCCCTAGGCTAGCAGAAGGATAGCATTTTTCAGCCATGCCTGCCGTGGAGAGCGGGGTGACGTATCCAAGAGACGCCGCACCACCTCCGGGCCTCCCAGCCGGCTGGAGAGCTGTTGAAAAAGCCTACACTGCCGCCAAGTTGCACTGATCTGCACTGAGTGACGCCAGCAATCAGGCCTTTCTAGATTCTAGATCTGACTCAGACATGGCAGGTGCAAGCCACCTTGCTTTTGCTGATAGTTCTCACGGCTCTGCCAGTGTAGACCGTGGACTGGGAAAGAGCATCGAGCAGTCCAAGCCCCCCCAACAACCCAGCCCAGCTGCCAGTCCCAATTGCGCACTGCGCAACGCTGCAACGCTGCACCCCAAAATCCACACCACACTGGCAGGACCACGGCTCTTGAGGCAAACTCGTAACATAAGAACCGACTAGTGCTACTTGTGCCATAGTGTTCGGGGAGCGAGAAGAGCCTTGAAGAGTCGTCAGAACAACGCTGCTGCCGCTGCTGCTGCCTCATGAGCAGAATGCTCCTTCTAGCCCCCTCCTCCGCGTCACCGGAAGCATTTGCAGCTAATTAGCATCAGGCTGAATCTCAGGGTGATCCTCGTCCTCCTCTGCACCATCACCATCACCATCAAAATCACCAACCCCCAACCCCATCACCATCAACGTCGCCGGCAGGGTCAACATCTGCAGCGCCCAGCACCACAAAACCACTGCACCACAGCACCACCGCACCCCAGCACCCCAGCACCCAAGCAACACGCCAGCAGCACCCCAGCACATCGTGATGATGATGATGATGATCATCATCATCATCACCATCATCATCACCATCAGCATCGTCACCACCATCATCATCATCGGGCGGTCACACCAGAGACGTTGAGACATCTTGAGAGCTCAATGAGCTCGGAACCAAGGAGAACAGCTCGTACTTCGGCCAGACCTACATTCGGTACCAAAGCCCCGACGGCAAACATAGGTCTGTTTCCTCCGTGAACAAGGCCGTTGAGCTCCATGCCAAGGACAATGGGCATGACCCAAAAAAGGCGGTACAACGATTTCAGGAAGAGGTGAAACGTGAGAAGGTGGCTCGAGAGAGAGAAAGAGGCCAAGGCGAAGACAGGGAAGTGGCCGTGAAAACGTTCAGGGAGAGACATGGAGGCCTGGAAGCGACGACCTGTGCCAAATTGCAAGGCTGGACATACAAGACTAGCTTCCAGGAAGTCTCTGGGCAGACACAGGTTCTATACATCAGCGAGAAGGGGGACGGGTTCGGCACTCTGAAGCAGGTTGAGGCTGCCCTGGGATATCGCATGATGGACGGTCACAATCTGGACAAGCTGGTGGCAGATGCCCGTGCAGCAGCGAGGGAGATGTGGGGCGACCAGGTGGACAGCAAGCAATTCAATCCCCTGCGTCGGACCTCTGACGGACTATGCTTGGGGGAGGCCGTGAACTCCGGGGAGCTTGCGGCTTCGCAGCTACGGGGAGTCCAAGTCCACGAAGTGGAGTCGCACTCTGCTGAGATGGCCCGCCGAGTCGTGAAGGACGCGGACTACGAGCCGTCGGATCTGGTCCTGGGCGAGCTGCCAAAGCCTCTGAACGACGAGCGCAAGGTTCGTGCTGCACATGGCCAGGTGTGTTTAGTTTTTCGGGCCATAAAGGCCGTTTTGAGACACACGGTGCACGGTTCAGAAGGTGTAGTTGTTTCAGTGCATCGCTTGCGGGAGGTTCTGAAGGAGCTGAACAAGAACAAGCTGCTTGATGCCGCCGCACTTGCAGCGACAGTCGCGAAGATCTACACGAACTTGAAGACGCAAAACTTCAAGAAGGTCCGACTGGTTCTTGTTGCGAGCCGCAAACCCATCGCAGACGACTCCATTTCCAAGGGCTTGTTAGGTGTCTACTATGCTGATTCCTCTAGGATGGAAAGCGTTCACGGGAAGCCCTTTTACACAAAGATTTCTCTCCACAGTGACAGCGACAAGATGTTCTGCACGGGCTTGTATTTGTTTTGGGGAAAGACCACGCAAGCCTGGAAAGTCGCGAAGTCCATCGATGAGGCAAGTGCAGGTTTGCTCGTTGACAAGGGCGATCTGAAAATGACACCGAAGACCGCACCGCGCGCAAAGGTCCTGACACAGGAATGCTTCCATCGCCTTCAAAAGAGAAGAGAGGGAGGGAAGAAGAGGCGGCGTTCCAGGAGTGCGGTGGGCACTGCGGGCACGGTCAGGACTGACGAGTCTGAGCCGGGCAAAGATGGGTAGGAGTCTGCTCGCGAAAAAAGCTGCCACTGCTGGAGAGCACGGCTCTCGCCGACAAGCAGAGGCTTTTGCCCCCGAGAAGCCGAGGGCATCTCTTGTCCGGAGGTGCTCGTGCTGGTGATGGCCAGTCGATCGCTGTCGAATCCCGAGCTTGGTTGGTACCAGTATCTTCATAGCTATGGGACTCTGGACTCCACACTCCACTGCTTTTGCTTTGCCAGGCAGGAGCGGGTCTCGCTGCTGGAGAAGTCGTGGTCAGTTGCCCTGCAGATTCCGCGCTTGATTTTGATTTTGGAATCCTGAAGACTTGCTGTGGATCTGGTCGTGTGACCGTGCAGCTGAGGTCCGGGGTGGACATGCAGCGCGTGTACCTCGTGGATGAGTGGTTGGACACGGCGTCGCGCGAGAGGCACCACTGCTCCACCAGGTAGTCCCCTGAGCCTTGCAAGTCGCTTGCCAGCTGAAGGCAGTGGCGTCCGGACGTGCCGCGCAACACCGGCGGTGGTTTCGACGGCTTAGAGAGCGCCCTGGCAAGGAAGCTACTAGTAAAGCAGCTGCGGACGAACATGCAGATTTGTTGAACAAGGTGTAGGGACAGGGACAGATTCCCAGACATAAAACTAAGTTGGCAAGAGTTGATGATGCGTTGTCTCTTTGGTAGCAACGAAGGTAATTATTGGGATGCCCAAAGCCGGCAGCTAGATTTCATGCGGAAGCACCCCAATGTTCGGACCTCAGCGGCCGAAAGCCTTGGTCTCGTGCAAACCTGTGCGAAGTCCCTGAGCCCTGCTTTACCAGGTGAGCAGCGTCAGCAGCTTCGGAAGCACTGATGCTACCATGGCCACCCCAGAATGGATCATGCTGGCAGATGACGACACCTTCATCCAGGTGGGGGTGTTGTTGGACTTCCTTGCAGGCCATGATCCCCATGTGCCGGCAATGTTTGGATACATGCTGAGTGATGCCCATGTCCTCGGGTATGACTATCCCTGCGGTGGAGCTGGCATGTTGCTCTCTGCTGCGGCCTATGATGTCCTGGCCTCGCGCTTGCTGGGCCCTGAGTGCCCACTCCTGGCGTTTAATGACCTGACGATCGGCTTCTGTGCGCATTCCCGTGGGGTGCCGCTCGTGCACCATCCGGGAATGCACTGCGCCCCGGACGTGAACAGAGCCATGCGGCCCGGAGAGAATTTGTTGGACATCCAAAAAAGTGTGGCAGTGCATCGGCTGATCGGCTTCCAGAGCTTCCTGGACATGATCCACACCTTGGAGGTCTTAAAGGGCCAATTGCATGCGCTCACGCAGCGGCGCTGTCTGCTCGCTGCACGCTCCCCGCGGGAAAAGGAGGAGGAGACGGATCCTTTGGATTCTCGTCGGTTCTTTTGGTCGGTGGAGGCTTTGGCCGATGCTGTTTTCGCTTGCAGGGCCTTTGCCCCGAAGGCCTCGCAGGAAGGGAAGATCCACTTGGAGTTCCTCCTCTTCCAGCAGGGCCTGCCCGTGGCGCGCTACCACGAGGACCGGCACGTGCCACTCACGGCCAAGCCGGCCTCACGCAGCAAACGCTGGCCCGAGTGGCTGGAGCAGCTTCGGCACCTGCACTGCACGCAAGAGCCGCAGCTGCAGGACCCGCAGGAGTCGGAAGAGTCAGAGGAGTCGGAGTGCGGTGAGGGTGGGGAGGCTTTCGGAGAGTTCGAGGTAACCTGGCGGGCATCCTGGACGGCTGCAGCGCCGCGGCTGGGGGAGCTGCAAATGCAGGCGACGGGAGCTTCCGCTTTTGCAGCCTCGGCTTTGGTGGACTCCGAGGCCGTGGAGAGCAGCTTTGAAGCGCTGAAGGCCACCGGAGACTCCTGGCTGCAGGAGCTGAAGCGAGCGGCGCGGCCCTTTGTGAAAGGGAGAAAGCCCGGCCCCGGCCGGCGCTGGCTCTTCGTGGACTTCTCGCCGTCCTCGACGTTTCTGAACCTCTTCGAGTCCCTGCGAGTCCTCCGCTCCGTCTCCGGCCTCTTCTTCGAAGGCGACAGCAACAATCCAGGCAATCCATACCTTCAAGACGTTCGGGGTCCTGTGGATCTCAGTGCAGATGCCCCACCCCCACTGGCCATGGCCTACGAGTACTTCGATTTGAACGTGGAGCAAGCCGCCGGGCTCTGGCTGAACGGAGTCGCGGCGCAGCGGCTCCTTCGTTGCCAGCCCCTGAAGCACCCTATCGGCTTAGATGCGGAAGCCCACGCCAACGACTGGCCGACCCAGGAGGAGAGGCTGTCCTTAATGTGGCACAATGCCGTGGCCGTGGATGTTTTTAGGACACTCCGCTTTTGTGGGGTCCTCCTACTACATGCCCCTGCCATGGTTTCTTGGCGGATGTGCACGCAGCAGTGCAGCATCATAGCATCTGTCATCACGTGCTGGTCCGGACGGCAAGGTTCCCCACGCGTTGTCCTACCTGCCCTATTCCACGTACCGCCGGTCTCATGCCCCGCAGGGCACTCGGTGACCAGTGGCAGGTTGACAGGCTGTGATCTGAGCCGTTCTGCGGAAGCAGGTCTGTGGCCACTGCCATGTCCATTGGGAACGTGGCATCTCGCGCAGCCCTCACACCCTCTGCTCCAGTTGCTCGTTGCAAGAGCGGCCCTCATCGCAGGTGAGCAGATGAGGGCTCTGTCGCAGCTGGCAGGAGGCTCAAGGACGAGACTGCGACATACTGCGACCCCCGTGCAAAGAGCAGCTTCTCAGGTCCAACGCCGCGCCTGCGCAGCCCAGCGCCGAAGCCGCGGCAGTGACAGGCGCGTGCACGGACGAACGCGCGGCAGGTGGGCAACTCGGAGGGACTTGGAAATTTGGAGATCCTCGGAGGTCTGGTAAGCCAAGAGGACGCTGGACGCCACGAAGTCGCATCCTGGGAGGCCGGAAATGGCCGGAGCCGACTGAAGAGCCTTACGGCTTGGGCTTGGGGTCCCCTTTGAGGTGACCTGGATGTGAATTTGACGGCGGAGGCGTGGCGCTTGCCAGGCCTCCATCCTGGTGATTTCATGCTGCTCCAAGTTTCAATGCCCGGTGACATCTTCAGGCGCGCGCTTCCTGGGCCAGTCGCTGGTGGCCTTCCGCTCCGAGCACTTCTTGCCGGATGCCCAAGCCGCAGGCCACACGGCGGAGAGGAGCGAGCTACGCGAGCCTGAAGCGTGAGAGATGCGTGAGGCATGGCCACCACTCCCTCCGGCAACCCGCGCGTGGTCTGAGCACCGACGAATGAGAGCAGAGCATGCATGTGCAGAGCTGGGAACCGAAGGGAGCGCGCGGAAAGCGCTGCCGCGGCCGCGATGGCGAGAGCGGCAGCCGGGAAGGCCGAGGTCGAGGCCGAGGAGGGCTGAAAGGATGTCCCTCAGCGACGCGGGCGCGACGTTGCGCCGACGGCTCGGCGGCTCGGCGTCGCGGAGACCTTGGAGCTTCGAAAGCTGGTGACCTCGGACCGTCGACGACGGGCGATGCAGCGATGTATCAGATATGGCAGCCCCAGATGAACCCCAGATGAATGCAAAGCTCCTGCACGTATCGCATCGTGCACATCGCAAAAAAGGGATCCGATGTCCATACATTCGGCTGTTCCCATGTCTGTTGTGTGACGTGAAGGGGCCTAGGAAAGGCTTGTGGAGTCTCGTGCAAGCCGGAGGGTGGCTGCCTGGCTCGAGCACTGCTTAGCTACCTTTTTTCCGCTTTGGGAGCACCCTGCTCACACCACCCACGTGCATCTCCACTAAATCACACACGAGCACAAGCAATGCTCAAGATCATGATTGCCATGCGACTGTGCTTTAATTGAATCCTAATGATCTATTTCCGTGAACGATAGACAGGTCAGACGAGCTCGGATTAAGCAATTCTGTGCTTCAAGTGAGACGACGGCAAAGGGTCGGGTTCGCGGCTTTCGGGCCTTTGGCCGTTCGAGACTTGCGTGCTGTCGCCTGCATGGCTGGATTCCTATCCGCGCTTCGGCAGCGCCTCGGGGATTGCAGCTGCTTCCAGCCTGACGCTTGGAAAGGGAAGGGGCGACTTGCAGGATGCAAGAACAAGCCGCCAGCCCCACAAATCTCACTCAAGCCTGTGATGCTAGACTGTACTGGTGGTGGTTCTTTGCTCCTAAGAGCTGCAATGACCCTGCGAACAGCGCCCACGACCCTAGCAGCAGTCCTCTTCTCTTACTTACTAAATCCCTTGCTAACCTAACTGTCATAGCCTGAAAACAAAGCAGCAACATACAGCAAGAAAAATGCCAGTCTCAAAGGCAGTATACTAGCTCATGACTCTGCTGACCTTTGCAATCGAAAGACCTTGGCCCTGCGGCTGCCCGTGACTGTACGCCCTTTAAAGGGGTGACTAAGCGGTCCTCAAAAGGTTCGCCGGCTCCGAGCGACCATCTCCGGGGCCCGCTGCGGCTGCAGCTCCAGCGAAGCCTCGGCTGCCGCTGCCCCTGCGGCTTGGCGGTGGCTTCAATGGCTTCAATGCTTTGGGTTTTCTAGGCTTCTCTTTCAGCTTCTCTTTACGACAAAAAAGGAGTGTGGGCTTCGCCGTGGTCACGCTGAAGGAGACCGAAGAGGTGCCCACCCTGGAACTTCGCATCACGGCCGAGGACCAGGAGGTCACCGACGACGGCCTGACGGCCATGCGCCCTGGCCCTGACTGCGCTCAGAAAGACCAAGACTGCTGTCACGAGATTCACGCACAGCACGCAGGATTGCTCTTCGAGTGGCAGCTGTGCTTCAGGCTGGATTACATGGACTTCGTTCTGGACCTTCCTCAGGCTTCCTCGGGGGAAGGCTTCCAGATCTCCTTCGAGCAGATGGCTTTCTTAGGCGCGGGACCCCTGTGCACAGAGAGAGACAGAGAGAGAGAGAGAGAGAGAGAGAGAGATACCAAGCCAAAAAACAGAGGTTTCGGGGGAATGCTTTCAAGTACAGCAGTTGCCACACGGAGAACTTGCCTGAAGTTAAGCCTGATCGGCTGATTGTGTTTCCCTCAGATGCGGATCCCCAAGCGGGGCGCCAGCCCTGGAATGAGATTTCTTTGATCGGACCCTTATGCAAGAGAGAGGGAGAGGCTCGCGCCTAGTCCCTGCGAAAGATAGAGAGGCACAGAGAGGGATAGAGAGAGAGAGAGAGAGAGAGACCCTGGCGAAAGGAGAGAAAGAGAGAGAGAGAGGTCAAACCTACACCCTAGCCCTGGCGAAAGAAAGAAAGAGAGAAAGAGAGAGAGAGAGAGAGAGACAGGGAGAGACAGAAGTGAAGTGAAGAGAGAGACGGAGGGGCCCTTTAACCGTACGAAAGAAAGGAAAGGCGCAAGAGGAAGAGATCAGAAGCAAGAGCTCCGTGAAGCACTGGAAGGCTCATCGCAGTCGGATATCCTCAAGCAGGTGGGGGAGCTTGACAGCCTCCTCGAAGCTCGCGCTCTCTCGAGCTTCCTGTGAGGTGATCTGCTGGAGCTGCGAGCCCGGCCGTTCCTCGAAGTTCGCCGAGCGCTGCGACCGGGCTGGAAGTTTTCCGCGTTTGAAGTAGTCTCACGATGTTTCAGGTTTCAAGTATCGTTGGCTGGCAGTTGTTGGGCTCTGGGGACAGCTTAGGCAAGCGCTGGAAGATCATTTGTCCGGCCACCGACTGGACACAGGTGGGCCGAAGATTTCAGCACTTATACCGTGCCATCCAAGTCTGTTGCGCGAGGTGAACCGCTACCTGCTCCAGGTGGGCTTTGCCTTCTACCCGCCGCCTTGTCCGACCTACCTCCTCACAGACGAGCACCCCAGCATCGAGGCAAGCTTTTACGCCAAAATCCAGAGCATAAACCTGACATGCGAAATGCAAGATCTTTGAGGATATCTGAGCTTTAACTTTGTGCAACACCAGCCATCCACCTACGGAGCGACTCCGCCACTACCCGACCACTGGTAATCGGATAGCTGCTATAGTCTTACTTCCCGCGACAGAAGCTAATGTCTCTGGCCCCTTTTTCGCTTCGTCCATCCTTCCTTTCCGTTTCGTCTGTGACAGGTTATAGGCAATGGTAGGCAGGCAAAGCAGGCAAGGTAGGCAGGCAGAACCGGACTGCCGGAGGAGGGCAACCCGGAGATGAAAATCTTCGAGCCCAACGAGGCTGGAGCTGCAGAGAGGGCACAGAGATTTTGGTCCCAGGGCTCCGCCGGACGCGTCTCCAGGAGATCCAGAAGTTCGCGAAGCTGGAGGAGGAAATGCAGCAGGAGGTGGCCACTCACAAAGACACGGAAGGCCACGTGCATCTGCCGGCGGCAGAGAATGGTGCCACGGCCGGCTTTGTCAACTCCGAAGGATTGCAGAGATCCGAAGCTTTCTCTCTCCGTCTGTCTCCCGTTGGACTGCCGAGGCAGCCGAGTCTCCAAGTACAAGGACGGCCAAATCCCGGCCAAGCTGGATGTGGGCTTTGCCATCGTCAGCCAGGGCTTCGACGGGAAGGAGGGCTACCTCCGCATCCAGGGCTGTGAAGGACCGACCGAGCGTGCCGGCGCAGAGCAGAGGGCAGGGCAGAGTGATGCGGAGTGGCAGAATGCAGCGCGCCGCTACTGGTAGGAGACCTGGACATGGAGGGCTTGCACGAGATGATGGACTTCATGGATGCCTTCACGCTCTCGCCGAGTGCCGAGCGAGGCAGATCTTCGGTCGGGCCTGCGGGCTCGGCCCGGGCCTGGCCAGAGCCGTAGCCGCCGTAGCCGCTGTAGCCGCGCTTCAAAGCCCAGCCAGAGCGGAACTCCTCCCGTCGACAGGCTTCTCTATCATGTACGACATGCGCACGCTGCGCGCCCCATCCATGCAGATGGTCACGACGGTGGCGGAATGGGGCGCGCACCCTGTGCGGCAGAAACGTTCCTCGCCGTATGCAATCGGTGTTAGACTGCTGTGTCGTCAGGCAGCCACGGTATACTGCAACAGCTTTCGCAGCGACAGCTCGTGGCAGGATGGGAGCAGCTGAACACTTCGTGCAAAGTCATCATCACCGCGGGGCTCCGGTTCACCCTCGCCAAAGGGATCCTCTCCACGTTCTTCCTCTTGTGCCTGGCACTGACAGAGAGTTTGGGGGTGGCTTGGATATCAGAGCTGTGACCTGTGCTGAGACGAATCCCAGGATTTGGAGAAAGCAAGGGGTTTCTATGCTTGCGTGTTCCTGGTCTCAGGTGCCCGCCCGTCACAAGGACGTACTTGATGTACGAGCCGGATCAGCCACTGGAGAGCGCAGTCCTCTTCGAGCCCTAAGAGGAAAAAGTGCCGAGTAAGTTTGGGCTTGGGCGTAGCATGGTGTCGTGTTGTTGATACACAGCACGAACGTGGCTCGATGCTTGAACCACTAAGCGCCCTGGGATGTCATGATCGGCCCAGCACAATCGAGTCCTGTGAGCCAGATCCTTGCCGGTGCCTCTTTTCCCTCCGCGTCAGGAGTCATTCCTTGATCCCCTGTCTCGCTCCCGCCTTGAGGGAGACAGGTGATCTTGGGTTGAAAGAAAGCCAGCATCTGCTAGAAAGCTGAAGCTCCTCAGACAGATCTAGGAAAGCAAAGCAAAGGTCAAGAACTGCCACTAAGCTGCTCAGCAGGTCTCGCGTGGGATCCTGGGCTCCTGGGCACCGGGCCTTTTGTCGTCCCTTCCGGAAAGAGCTACAGAAGACAGCGGCGAAAAAACCGAAAGAAAGCTGGACAAACGCCGAGAAAAATCTGGAAAGAAGCCAAAACAAAGCTGAAACATTCGGCAGTAAAGCTAAACTAAACAGCTGAGGAGGAACAGCACAGCGATTGAAATGCTTCTCGCTAGATCTTCAGGCTTCCCTCAGGAGGAAAGCGACCAAGATTAGCACGTGCTTCATACTCATCTTGTTGGGATTTTTTGTGGTTCTGATCTGAGTGACTCTACAAAGACCCTTGACTGGGTCGTGGTCATGATGGCTCGTTGTGGTCGTCATGGCGCTCATAGGGACCTGCGCTGGCAGAATAATTTGTACGCATTGTACATGGAATGCGAAACGTCTTTTCTCCACCCCGACTTCGCCTGCCCACTCCATGTCCACCTTGTCCGTGCAGGAGCTGTGGAGTGCCGTTGCTCCTGGTGCTAAGCTGCACAGTACTTATCCGAGATCTGACAGCATTTTGTGCCTGGCGAAGGTGTGTTAAGAGGCAGAACACACAAAACGAGGGGACTTGGCACAGCACACCTCGCAGTTCAAATATGATCCCTCGCCTACTTGTTGTTGTCGCACGTGTGGTCGGTGGAACGATCGCATCGCGGTCAGCCAATGCCACCTGCCTCTGCAGCGGCGTGCTCACCGAGGTGCGACGGACAGTTTCCCCACTCCAAGTTGGGGCCTGACCCTACAGCAAGCTCAGGCTGCAGAAGGAACCAGGAGTGGGTCGCAATGCGCTCCCGCTTCCGCTTGTGATGACCGCGCATCGGCGCACCTTTGCGATCCTTTGCGTGCTGCTGCTCCAGCGCCGCGCCACCACTCGGCCTGTGCCACGTCCGGTTTCCCTGCCTCCCGGTCCCTTCCGCTACAGCATGTTCTTGCTGGCGTGTGTCACGAGGCCGGGGCACGGGTAACGCGGAACGTTCCAGTTGACGTGAACATCGCGATGCGCATGTCAGCGACTCACGCCGAATTGAGGTGGTTGCCAATTTTTTGACGAGCAGTGCTTGTACACATTGCCGCTGCCAACCGCGGCTGCTGTGTGTGCCAACAACCCAGTGTGGTACCGTCGAGGGAGTGTCGGAGGTAGTTGGAACGCGGAACAATGCAATGGTGCAGCAACGGCCATGCCGCCTGGACGAGCCGGATGCGTTGAAGGATGCGGTCGTGCTCCTCGCATTTGAGCTCCTGCCAAAACACATGCCAAGCACGGTGAGCTCCTGTTGGGCTGGCGGGCGCACCCAAAATCCTACACGGGAGTGACAATCTCGCCTTGCAGCATGGAAATTGCTTGCCTCGCTGGAGTGGCTCGCGGCCGTGCCCTGTGACACCGCCACGTACTTCGCTGAAGTCATGCAGATTGCGCTGCGCCGACGCCATCGCTTACAGCTGCCCCTTGGCCCCGGCTGTTGCGGGCAGAGAGCCACGGTAGTCGACGACGTTTAGACCCGTGGGGCGACCACGCACTGGCATGCACACACACACAGGCTTTCTGGCTAGACGCGCGAAGTTCGTCGAGCGAGCTTGGCTTGCAGTTTGCCGTGAGGCCGTCGGGGCCGAAGGGCACGCGGCCTGGCAACAGGGGTTGGCGCACACGTGGGTACTAGGGTACCAGGTGTGCCGTCAACTGACCGCCGGCGACTTGACCTTGTCGTTTGCGGCGCCTCGCCAAGGTCTGGCGCTGTGCTGCGATGCCACGCTCGCTAGCCCGATGACAGTCGAAAAGGCGTGCCCCATGAGGGCCAGGTCGCAGCAGCTCGGGTAGGCTGCACGCTTGCGCCGCTCGGCGACAGCAGCGATCGCGGCTCCATTCCGCGAGGCCGCAAAGGGCTATAGGGGCTTCCCTTCTCGCGTCAACACGCTGATGTTCCAGTCAGCGATGCACGGCTCATCGATGTATAGTGTGCAACGGCTTGCCTCTGTGGCATGGCGCCCAGCTCGCCGTCGATGCAACTATCGTGTCGCCCCTGACGCGTGATGGCCTGCCTCGCCCAAGCGCCGATGTTCAGCCTGGCATCTCGCTCCCAGCGAAGAAAACGACGGGAAACCTACCCGGAGCATCCCGGAGCTGCTCCGTGCACGCCGTTGCCGACTCGTTGTGTTCGGCATCGAAACTGGGGGGCGTTGGAGCCAAGAAGCAGCATCCTTCACCCGCCCGCTCGCGCATGTCGCGGCCCTGAGCGCGCCAGCTCCCCTTCGCCAGGCTGCGCGAGCTGCGTGGGTCCAGCGATGGAGCTGTGTGCTTGTGCTGTAGCTGCTCAGCGCGCCGTCGCTGCATCCCTCCTCGTGCTCCCTGCTGACTCTGAACCTCTATACCGTCTATACCCCTTGCGTGCTTCTGGCTGAAATCCTTTGCCTCTCAGCCCCAATTCAGCTAGCTACACAAGGAATTCAGCCGGTTGAAATCCTTCTACCTCGCAAAGATTCCAGCCAGCATCAGCCAGGCATCGGTTACCCCGGGGGCGCACCGTTGAAAACCGACCCCGTAATTATGGATCCCGGTGTGAACCCGATCGAAGTCAAACAGATCAAGAAGATATAGAATCTTCCTCAGCGCAGACAGAGATACAGAGAGGGTCTTGCGGTATTGATGGATGCTGACACTCATGGTGCGTCCTCGTTGTGTGCGGCACCCCCCAACAAGGAGGAAGCAGTGTTCCAAACGGCAGGTCCGGCCTGAGGAAGTGATTGGACTGAGACAGGAAAGTGTTCGAGTTCGGCGCGCTCTTTATATATGTACACGTATACGTTCGCAAACCTGTATGCGAGTTGAACCGTGCCACCGCACAACTGGTGCAATGCAAAGATGTCTGGCGGAAACACCCGCCCTCGAGCCCGAACACGCTGCCAGCATTTCGACGTCGGTGGTCGCGCAGACGCTGCAAGAAGTGCGGTGGGGCGCTGCACCTGGCCTGTCCGGTGCTCGGCCAGAGCATTTCAAGCTGCTGTTAGCAGATGCTGATGGCCTCGAGCTGCTGGCGTGCGCAACGTCCGTGCTGGCTAAAGCGCGCGTCCCGCCCACTGTTTCAGCTGCCTTTTTCGCCGCCTAGTCTCGCGGGCCTTGGCGAAGACGTGGGCGGCTACCTTCGACGAGGCGACTGGTCCCTTTCAGCACGCCTTGAACGCGCGGTCCGGTATGGACGCTTTGGTGGCACGACTGCGCGTCGAGCTGGAGACTGACCGAGACGTGACTGTTGTTTCGCTGGACGGCCGCAATGCGTACGACACAGGCTCCAGGGCCGCCTTCCTCAGCAAACTCCGCCAGGTCGCCCCTGCACTCACCGTTTGTGTGCCTGTCCTACGGGCAGCCATCTGTGTCTTGCTGGTGGGGTGATTCCGGTAGCTGCCATGACGTTACCTGTTTTGTTTCAGGAATGTTTTCGGAGCTTGTGAATCTCTACACGTGACATGCATACATGCCTTTGTGTAGCCGGGCTCAAGGGGGGGCTATTTCTTCGTGCCTTGTTTACCGGTTGGATCTGTCCCTAAAGTGGGGGTATTTTCCTACATGACCGATCTTGCCTTCTTGCATCGGTCAGCCTTCGGTTAACCGCCAGCCTACAGATCCAACATGGTTAAAAAGAGAGCTGAAGTGCTAGAGCAGTGCAAGCCTACCTAATTTAAAACATCTGCTAGGCAAAAGGCTGCGAGCAAGGAGATGCACTTGCCCCGGCATTGTTTTCCCTTTGTCGGGAAGCATATGGCAGCATGATGGCCTGGTGGGCGCAGCGGCTGAGCTGAGGCCATGTGAAGAACAGCTCGCTTACCTGGACGACCTCTACGTCATCACCACAGCTCGGCACGAGCCAAACCGGCCTTGGACGGAGTCGCCACTCGTACGGAGCACTGTGGCATCGCGTTCGGTGTCGGTAAAACGCGGATCTACAACACAGCCGGAAGTTTGGCACCGTGCGGGGTCGCTGAGTTCGGTGAGGAGGTCTGGCGCAGCGACCGTCCCCTGCCCGAGCGCGGTTTCACTGCCCATTGGAGTACCAATCGGGCACGTGCTGGTTTGGGGACCCGTCGCTCGCGGCTACGTGGGCTCGTTGAGCTGGGAGCGCCGTTCGGCACGCCCGAGTTCGTACAGGCACATTTGCAGCACTCTGGAGCATTCTGGAGCGGCAGGCCACTCTCCTCAACCAACTGCCGAACCTACACGACACACAGGTCGGGTGGCTGCTGTTGTCTTGCTGCCCATGCCCACAAGTGCCGTATGCTCTCCGCACGCTCCCCACTGCCAACACGCACGAGTATGCCATGCGTGATGATGCCGAGCGTTGAGGTGCCTTGACTCACTCCTGTTCGCTGATGCCGCTGAGGGATTACCTGGGCAAGTCGCCCCTGGTGTGCAGTTGGCCCTGCGCCATGGCGGCCTCGGCCTGCGCAGCGCGGTCCGTCATGCGGCAGTGGCTTTTTGGGCATTCTGGGCCGACACTCCCAGCCATGCTCAAGCGCGACCGCCCCTTCGCCCTTCAACTTTTCCAGGGCTTAGAAGCAGCAAGCGAGCTGTCAGAGTTGCTGCCGCTTCAAATTGCCAGCGACTCTCTGTCCGCCGCTGGCATCGAACGCCCGTCCTGGCACGA